GAGTTTTAGGGCTGCTAGGGGTAGGGATTAGGGTTTCGGGCTTAAGATATCTTAAGCTTTGGAGTTAGGGTACCTTATGATTTTGGATCCTCATAGTCAGGATCGTACTATTTAGGGTACTATATTTGGGTCCCCTGTTCTCGGGAAGTACTAGGATGCCCAGTAACCTGGGAATAAACAGGGCTCCCTTTTTGGCATGGACTAAAAAAAGGGAAAAAGGGTACTACTGGGCATCCTAGGCTACGGCTAAGGATTAGGGTTTAGGGCTTGAGATTTGGAGTGAGAGTTGTGGGTTTGGGGTTCAGGCTCAGGGTTGCGGGTTTAGGGCTTAGGGCTTCCGGCCGTTTTGGGTTGATGGGTTTGGCTCTGTGGAGGTTTGGGGCTTAAGACCCTTTAATTAGAGGATCAAGTTAAAAAGATGGAGGCCCCAGAAGGGCATCCTACTGTTGATGATAGAAATCTTGCATTACCTTAAGGACCCTAAACTACGGGAAGTATGGTATATTCCTTATGATGGGTCATGCAGGATTTATACCATCAAACCACATCAAACCATTCTTTATCTTTTGATAGGGACTTAGGGACCTCTCTTCAAGGCAACCGTCTGCTGGATCCTGTACAAGGACCGGTTGGTAGGCGGCTGTAGGGTTTGGGGATGTTCGGCTAGCTGGGAGTGTAGAGTGTAAGGCTAAGATTTCAATCTAGGACTTAGGGTTTAGAGCAGAGGGTGAAAGGGGTGGTTTATGTGCTGATGCTCTGGACGCTGTGCTGTACATGCGGGGCCGTGGGGGCTGCGGCATTGTTTTTTGCTTCTTCAACCTACAAAACCCTAAACCTTAAACAGTAAACCCCTAAACCCTGAACCTTGAGCTGACGCTTATTATGAGATGTTGCTTCGGGCTCGGCTTGTTCGGGTGAAGATCCTGCTTCACAACCCCTGCAAGACCCGCACAAGACCCAATAGGGTAGTTCTCTAAACTAGGGTCTCGAGATCCTTATATAATTTTAAGTCCCAGACATGATACCCTCAAGACCCGTAGAAGGACCAGGAATAACAGGCCGTGAAGCCTCAGGAAGTCGTTCCCCTAAAGGTCCATGTACCCAACTAGTATATACTTTGGCATTATTGTACTCCCTATATAGGTACTTGAGGGCCTAAGTATATACACTTTGGGTACATGGACGCTTAGGGATTGGGGACGGCGGACCAATGTCGGGGATTTCCCGATTTCCGCGACCCCTGAAACCTCGCCATCAACCCTAGGCTCGAAACCAAAACCGAAAAAAAAAACATCTCTAGCCCTAACCCCAAAGTTGAAACCTGAAGCCCCAGCCTTACTGCTGAAGCTTTAGAATACAACCCCCCCTGAAATCTATAAACCAAAAAAACCTAAACAAAAAGATGACGCGTGTTAAGGCCCCTATGCTACTGCCGCCGGATCCCGAGCCTGCTGGCGCTGCCGCTGCCGGCTTCGCGGGAACTGGAGCGGTTGGCAGGCTCTTTGGGGGTTTTGGGGTTGAGGGCTTGGAAGGTCGATCCTAAACCCTAAACCCCTAAACCCCTAAACCCTAAACCCCTAAACCCTGAACCGGGTTAAGGGACTACGGATTAAGGATTATAGGGTTGAGGGATTCGGCTTTAGGAGTCGAGGGCTTGAGGTTTTTAGGGCTTAGGGTTTCCCCTCGAGGTTTAGGGTTTAGGGCATGCCCTAGCCTGAAGGTCTTTGTTCAGAGGTGTGCTTCAAAGCTTTAGGCCGTTGTAGGTGCGTGCATAAACGAAGTATGTGCATTGGGCGTACAGTACCTGTTTGGAATACTATATGAGTACAGAAGCCTGAAGAGTCTGTACTACGATTGCCACGGAGTTGTCGCGAACGACCCTTTCACACCAAAATCTTGACAAGCCACAAGGGTCCAAGTAATAGCATAGCATATACTCCTGGGGCCCACACACCTACTAAGTATCTACCATATTGGTACTTGGGCACTTTGGGAAACAGCTGAAGCCGTGGCCTGTGCTGGTCTTTGCTGCGGCATTGCTCGCCGAGGCTGCCGTGCCTCACAGACGGGGGCTTCTTAGAGTTGGGCTCCTCTGTCTTATACAAGAGGGTCTGTACTTCCCTGAAGCTACGAAGTTGACAATGTTTTAAGAATTTGGTTTTGGAGTTGCAGAGCTTTGGGTTTGCGGCTCGCGGCTCAGGGTATGTAAGGTTTACAAATTACCTTAGCCCCAAATCATCTACTTTTCAAGACTTATACGCGGAAATCTCAACAAGGAAACCCCAGACAAGCACTACCCTCAAACCTAAACCCCAAACCCAAAACGTTGTAGGGTCCTGGCACCCCCCTACATTTCGGAATGTACCTTCGCAAAGGTCCGAGTACCATCATAGAAGGTACTTAGTAGATGTTTGCTAAGACTATATACTACACTACACTAGTACTTGGCCTTCTCGGACTAAAATCCCAACTTGAAAAAAACCCTATACTTTAAGGTATATGTTCCTTACTTAAGCGGTCTTGGGCTCTGTAGGTTTCAGAAATTCGGGGCTCTGGTTTGGAAGACAGATGTACCTTTCAAAAAGGACATGATCTTAGCTGAAACATAAGTACGGTTCAGATGGCTTTGAGGTACCTTGGCTCCTCTAGGTATATGGGAGTTTCCGAAAATAGGGGACCCTAATATAGTACCCTGAATAGTAGGATCCTTATTGTAAGGACCCAAAAATACGGTACCCCTAAATTTCGAAAACTCCATTATCTGAAGTGACGACCTTGGCATGGGCAAGCTCATCTTTGCTGAGAAGTTGGGGTTGATCAGTTTATAGGTGGGGCTTTTAGAGCCTTTGAAAAATATTAGTAAATAGGATCCTCTTAAGCCCAATAAGGGAAAATATAAAATGTCCCAAAGCCCTACCTAGGTTTATAGGATGTAAGGTAACAGCCAGAAAGTTGGAATATGATTATCCTAACCCTTCTATGGTAAATTATAGGGTATCCCACCATGAAACCATATTCCAACTTTCTGGAGTTTCCTATAAGGTTTAGGGACCCATCGAAGGGCACATCGATCCCCGATCCCTTTTCACAGGTATCGGTTCCTGGTACTACAAGCCTCGAGCCGTCTGGAGACAAGAATCAGGGCTTAGGGGATAGGGTGAAATTAACAAACCTTAAACCCCTAGCCCGAGTTGAAGCTTGCGTGACCCTTTGCGTGCCGAACCGGTGTAGCAACAGCCACACCAAAACAAAGCTGTGAAGAAGAGTTTAGGGTGCGGAGTGTAGGGCGCCCTCAACCCCACAAATGAGAAAACAATGAGGCCGGACAAGAATGGGTTCCCAGTTAAGCCAACAACCCCAAAACCCTAAACCGTAAACCCAAAATCGTAAACCCAAGACCCAAAACCATGTTCAACGAGAAGCCTGTGGCTGTCTTCGCAGCAGTTGAAGATGATGTGTCGGTGCCTCATGGTGGGGAAGTCGCCCGAACGCACATCCACTAAGGAGTGCAAGGCTTGAGAGGGTGTGAGGTTTGTCAACCATGAGGTCCATGTGCACGTATAGTACATATTTGGGCCTTAACTAGGGTTCCTATGTCGGCACTTTAATTCCTAAAGGTATACAATACGGTATAGGCACGTAAAGCCTCAAGACAAAGATTGAGATGAATGGCTTGCTTTGAGCCTACTTGCGATGTATGCCATGTGTTCGTAAGCATAGCACACAAAAACCGCGAAGCTATAGATCCGAACACTCTGCGGTGACCGTGACTGTCGGGCCTGCCAGCAAGACGGTATAGACTCATATGGACCTATCACCTATGCTCAGGGGTTGCTGCCGAGACAACAAGCACTGGCAGCTACAACGCAAAGGGTATGTCCATTGCTAGTTGTTCAGATAAAATCCTTTACCCCATAAGCCCTAAGCGCCATAAACCATAAACCCTAATTCAGGGTCGAGCCAGGGTTTAGAACTTGTGGGTTGCTCTCCGCCGCCCACACTTCGTCTCTTTTTCTTCTTCGTCAACAATTCTTCGAAGACGAAGAAGCAAACACCAGCGGAAAATCAGCGGCCTCCAAAGTCTTCGCCAGAAAAAATTCACGGTTTAGGGTTTATGGCTTTCAAAATTATATGATTATAAAGGGCTTCAGCGCTTTAGGAGAGTAATAAATTGACCTTAAGCTTTGCCTCGTGCACCCGAAGCTTCGCCGACCGCTTTGCTTCCTCCATTCTGCGTTGCTGGGAATCCCGAAGAATGCGCTGCGAGTAGAACACGAGGATGTCGTTCATGCGTTAAACCCTAAACCCTGAAGGCGAGCTTCTCATGCGAGGGCCGGTGCCGAAGCCCAATACCCTTCAGAGGATACTAGTAATGAGGCTTACTATTTTGGAGGGTATCACCCTTTTGTACTTGGAAGCTTGGGCTTCTTTTATTTCGAAGCCCTAAACCCTTACAGAGCCCTTTAAAGGAACCCTTATTATAGTACCCCTATAGTCACCCTTTGAATGAACCGTAACCGTAAGGTACCCCTAATTGTTTGGGTTACCGCTGGAAATGGACCCTGCACGCGACTCTGACCAAGACGACAAATAGCCCGGCCATCCTTGAAGTGCCTTCTGAAAGGGCTCCGTATGATTTCTCGAAGCGCTTTGAAGGGAAAAGCTACGTGTGAATATGACGGGTTTACGATTGCAAGTTCAGGGAGACTTGCAGGATGGGCGGGACTTCTGCAACTTCTGCAGTCGTTACCAGTTGAAGCTCCGGGTTTAAAGTCTGGGGTTAGGATCGACATACAATTGCTCGTCACCTGCATGCTGCCTATCAGTAAGTGACATGACGAGTGCTGCAGACCTTCTTACGACCAGCTCATCGCAGCCACTGCTTGAGTGAGGTGTTCCTGTTGTGGTGATTATTATTATGATGCAGCTGGCGGCTGTTTCTGCTAATGCTCACACGAACACACACGTGCTCTTTCAGTCTCAGCCCAGGGTGCACAAAGTTAATTACTTACATCCTGCAGCTTTGCCCGCAAAGCTGCGAGGTCCGATGGCGTCAAGTCCAGCTCAAGTCTGCCTTTGTTTTCCTTCTGAACCTCGGCAGCTATGCCATGGCCTTTCAGTTTGGCCAAAACAAAAGCTTGAACATCAGACTTCTGCCAAGTCTTCCTTGACTTACCCCAGCCTGTGATGATGATGCAGCGGCGGCGCTTCTTGGAGCGGAACAGTGGTGGCAAGACTTCCAGCAACCACCACTCCACATCCATCCAGCCAGCACCGGCAGACAAATCATGTAAATCAAGAATGGTAGGGTCCTTATTGCAAGCGTCACAATACAGCCCAGCCTGTCGAGCCTGCCGAAAAAGTTCAAGTTGCATCACCCGGTGCCATGCTACATGCTGCCTCCAACACGGCATTGTAGCTGATGACATTGGCTTCCACCAGGGCTTTGCGCATGCTGTCAAACAGATGCATGGCTAACTGCCACTGCCCACCTTTCCCACAAGCGCTGATGGTGGAACTATAGCTGATGACAGTGGCTTCCACCAGTGCTTTGCGCATGCTGTCGAACAAATGCATGGCTAGCGGCCACTGACCACCCTTCTCACAAGCGCTGATGGTGGAATTGTAGCTGATGACATCGGCCTCCACCTTGGTTTTGCTCATGCTGTCGAACAGATGCACCGCCATCTGCCACTCCCCGCCCTTCTCGCAAGCGCTGATGCTGGAACTATAGCTGATGACGTCGGCATCCAGCTTTGCTTTGCGCATGCTGCCGAGCAGATGCATGGCTAGCTGCCACTGACCACCCTTCTCACAGGCGCTGATGGTGGAATTGTAGCTGATGACATTGGCTTCCACCTTGGCTTTGCGCATGCTGTCGAGCAGCTGCGCGGCTAGCTGCCACTGCCAACCCTTCTCACAAGCGCTGATGGTGGTACTATAGCTGATGACATCGGCCTCCACCTTGGTTTTGCTCATGCTGTCGAACAGATGCACCGCCATCTGCCACTCCCCGCCCTTCTCGCAAGCGCTGATGCTGGAACTATAGCTGATGACGTCGGCATCCAGCTTTGCTTTGCGCATGCTGCCGAGCAGATGCATGGCTAGCTGCCACTGACCACCCTTCTCACAAGCGCTGATGGTGGAATTGTAGCTGAAAACATTAGCAGTCACCTTAGCATTGCCCATGCTTTCGAGCAGATGCATGGCAAGCTGCCAATTTTTCGCCCTTGCACAGGCACTGATACCCGTGGTGAATTCTTTTGGGCCCGGCATAGTGCCACCGGCTGTGAGAGTCTCTGAGAGCACTATACCTACCAGATCGAATCGCTTTTGCTCCTTGAGCTCTTGCATCGTCGAAGAGAGCGTGTTGTGATCCAGTCGTTGTCGGCCCAGAACCTGGTTTACATCTTCCGGAGCAACATGTGGCTTGAGCTTTAGCAGCTGCTCTGCGATGTCGCCGGGCGGAGTATTCCAGGTGCTCTTCCCACCTGCAAGCGTGGAGAATGACGGGATGCACATGATTTCCGGCTTCTCACGACAAGCCGTGTCTACTGCTCTTGGAGTTTGTACTATCACGTGACATGATAATACAGTATGTATTACTCTTCATGCAGCTATAGTTCAGCAACTATTCTGATACATCAACCATTAAGTAGCCGCGCCTCCACGGTATGCCATGACTCGCAAGAGTTTGTCTAACTTCGATTGCCGCACGGTGGGCACTGCTTGAACTCACGGGTCGTAGTGAACGCACATGCCGCCAGGGAATGGCATGCCAAATCTCTCTTCTTGAAATGGAATGGGCTCTTGGGTATAGCGCAGCAGAAAATAGAAGGACTATGTATGTGAGGAGGATACCACTTGTTTCTATTCCGACCTCCTCATTATTGATATCTCCCCGAACGTCGTACATATGCAGCACAAACGCGGCCAAGTTGGAGGTCCTCAGCCAAAGTACGTCCATTGTGAATAGTTGGACCCTTGGGGTTGCAAAGCGTTAACCTGGAAAGCTGTAACCACAAAGCCTCCAGAATTAGACACGGGTTTCCGGGTTCTTGAAGGGTTCCTTTTCAGGGTTACTGTACGGGTTTATGATGTACGGGCCTGGATAGTTAGAATACGGCTGTGGGGGCGTTCTATATTAATTGCATGCACGACCCCCTGAGGCATGTATGTAATCATTCCTCTTTGCTCTGCCAGGCACATGCCACAACTATGGATAGAAATTCTCTCTCTGCCTGATAGGGCTGATAGAAAACCGCAACGTGACTCCTACTTAAACCACCCTCAACCTTAAGGACCAGATAGCCCGTAGAAGAAGGGGCCCTCCAAACCCAAAACCCTAGACAATCCACCCTTGTACGGATGTGATGTGTGCTTGAAACCATTTTGTGTGAAACCTCGTCCTCAATCCTTGAACCCTAGATAACCCTTACAGAAATCCATATAGAACCCTTAAACACAAACCTTTATGGAACCCTCGAAGGAACCCTGTCCCAACAAGACCTTGAACCTTATTTCTCCAGGGCAATGGCCCGTTGCAGAGCCCTTCTCTGCGGGAGCACCTGCCGACGGTTTAATCATTAGAATGGGGCTTCGCTTACCGGCTCCTTTAAGCGATCTATGAGGGTTTCGATATTGTGTCAGCTTTTATGGTTTCGGGGTAAGCGGACTAGGGTTTAAGGATTTGAGGCCAGGGTTGGGATGATTTTAGGGTTCAAAGCTTAAGTTCGCCACCAACCCTGTAAACCTGAAAAAGGAACACCTACCCATAGGCCCCATAGTAGTTCCTTTTTGGGAATACCTTATAGGATCCTACATGTGAACCTCAAAACGGAACTACTATGGGGCCTATGGGTACTGAAATATCCATGATTTATATACAGACCCAAAAATCAAAGGCATGGCAACAGGGTTCTATATACTGCAGAGCATAGGAAGGTATACCTACGATTTAGGTAACGGGAGGCCTCGGGTGCATGCATGCGTATATGTACGTACGTAGGTATGTGCATGCATGCATGGATGTGTTCTGCAGGTGCTTTCCCGGGCTCTTGGATTCGGATGTGAGGTTTAGGGCTGCGGCCCCGACAGGAGGCATATGGCATATGTATATATATATATACTTATAATTATACAGATATGTACAAATAGACCCTGATTCTTTCAATGCAGAACCCACAGTTGCACTCAAGGGTTTTGAGTGCAACAGTGGGCTCTGCATTGAAGGAATCAGGGACAGAGTGCTTGCTCCCCAAAAGTCTAGCTTCCTTTCTGGGTTCTGCAAGGGTTCCGATAAAAAGGATCCTAACACTTATGAACCTCTAGAACCCTAGAACAGTACAGGAACTGCCATCGTGAGCTGCCACCCAACCCGAAAAGGACATGGATTTTGGGCGTCTGTTCGGTCGCTGCCAACAGGACAGCAAGGACAGCACGACTACTCCTTGTTGCTTGTAACCCTCACACATAGTCTTAAGCTTTGTATTCGGGTGGCCAGGCAAATCAGAGGAAATCTTTTTTTGTCCGATTGTTCGCTGGGAAGTTCGATGAACTGCGATTGCCGAAGAGCTTCTGAGAGCTTCGGGTTCAGGATTGAGGTTGATTCCGATACGACCCACTTCTAAAGTTTGAACCTTTAGATGACCTGAACCCGAAATACATCCTTTGAACCCAAAAAAGCCCTGCACGCCTGTACCCCCCCTCAGGGGGGTAAGCTCCTGCACGACGTCCCATGGACGGCCTATATCCCTGTATAATCATCAAGACCCCTACCCATGTGCAGGGTTTCGGAAAATGACAGCAAATCGAATCTTATTTATATTTTGTTACACAGACACAAAAGGACCAACCTCACCAGGCCAGCGATCCAGGGTGGCAGAGGGGAAAGGCAGGGTAAAACGTTCAAGGGGTCAGGGAACGAGGGGCTTATCTCTACGAGCCTACACAAGCAAACCGAACAAGCCCGGAAGACAAAAAGGATGAAAGGGTCCCACTTGAGCGCTAAGTAAGCGTTATAAACACCCCAAGCCGTGAACTACCCCCTTAGAGCGTCATCAAATAACCCTTTAACTCTAAACCCGAATACACGACGTTGCAGAACCCTGCCTTTAGGAGGAGTCTGGGTCCGTGCAGATGTCGAAGCCGCCGGAGCGCTTCCTAGAGACGATTGGCTTCAGGCTTACCCTACTTGGAGGGTCGGGGCACTTAGTAAGTAGGTACGTAGTAAGTAGAGTTATAGGTACCCTAAAAAGGATCCTAAGTGGGATTATGAATAGGATTAAGGGGAATCTTACTATACACTATCTCCTACTTGTCGGGTATCATGGTGAACTAAAGGTTAACCTTTTGGGGTATATAGGGGTTATATGGGGAATATACCACCCAAAGGGACTATACCACCCAAAAAAGGTTAAAGGTTAGCTACTCTACTACTAGGCAGGCTTACCCTATGCACCAGCCACGGAATCACATAATGGTTTCCACCGGAGTGGGGCCGATTGGAAGTTTCCAGCACATCGATAAGACGAGAGAAATGTCAACCTCGACAAGAACAGCGGTGGGAAACCCAGCGGAGCCCAACAGTATAAACCCAGCGAAGCCCTGCACAAAACACACTACTTGGAGGTTCATGGGTAATTATAAGTGGAGATATAAGTCCCATAACATGGGCTATAGCTATAGTTACCCTACTTATAACTCCACTTATTACTAGCCACGAACCTCCAAGTACGCCCAAATAGCCCGGGCTCATGATGGAACCTCATCAAGAAATGCGAAACAGCATCTTGTCCGCCACTTTGAATAAAGTGCATGCGAAACTTGCCATGAAGTGCAGGGTCTCGAGTGGCAAATGCGCATGGTGCAGCAACTGATGCCGCGAAGTCCTCGACCTCTTAGAGATAGTCCGAGACTTTCGAGGCTTGAAGAACCCAAAGAGTCCAAGTATCATTCTGGTATATACTTAAAGGTTATTTTGGGGATCTAAGTACATACCATAGTGATACTTGGACCCTTTGAAGAACCATGCCTGTGAAGAAAAAGCCGAAGAATAGTGAAACTTCGGGATCGGCTCGTGCAGCTCGACCTATAGTCTCCATTGTAGTTCCTTTTTGTGGTCAACCAAAATCTCAATTATAGGATCCTAATCAGAAAACTGGATAACAAAAAAAGGAACTACAATGGAGACTATCGGGACTACTTCTTCAGAAACTTCCACCACAGTCTCCAGCTTCTTGTACAGGCAGTCCGCTGGAACATACCGGGCCCTCCCCAGAAGCCCCGAAGTTCAGGAAATGCGACAGGCGACTTTTGGGGCTATTGTTCAGGGAGCTTAATACCCAAAGGGTTCAATTGTCAATAGAGAAGGTACTTAGAGTAGAACTTCATTTCTGGTGCCAACAGTCTGCGCCACACGTTTACTTGGGCCCTTTGGGATAATTTGAAGAGGGTCTTGATGTATGCTATGTACTGTGATTAGATCGAGGCCCAAGATGATGCCTCTTGCTAGTTCTCCGGCACCGACCTCTAGTGATTCCCATTTCTTGTGCCAAGGATTCTGAAATATCGTGCGAACAGTGTCCACCGACACGAATACTTATATAGGAGAAGGAACAGGGTTCTTTCCTGCTCCTTGATCAAACATACACTCTTGTCAATATACTATGGCCCGAAACCCCAGTTCGGCTATCATGGACCCACTATTTCATAGCCTGTTGAAAGGTGCAGTATCGCTATGTATCGCTAGAACGCCGGTGACATACCCCTCCCCATTGTGGGGTCTGCGTACTTAAATCAAAACAGAGTGTCGAGGGTTTACTGTATCAAGATCTTAGTGGGCTCTGCATATAGCGATGCTGCGACTAAGCATCCAGACTAAACATTTTAAGCTCAGCCGTGTCTTTTTGCACCCTGAAGCATGGTCAAAGATTAACCATGTCTGTGGCACACGTGTAGCCAATGTAGTTTTCTGGAATCCGCTGAACTGCTTGCCAGTAGTTGTAAGTACGTGGGGCTCTAAGTTGCAAAGCTCTAGACGGAAGCTTTAGTCGTGGAGATGGTCATCTCACCATAGCTGTACGCGCACGTCTAAGAACCCACCTGATCAACTACAAACTGACCTGCTTCCGACATTGCAGAGAACATAGGGATTCAGCAACAAATCTGTACCGACCACAGTTTTTGCGAAAGGAGACCAAGATCAAGAAATGCCGTCTTCAAATGCCGTCGCCGAACCACAGGCCCTAGTTGGCTTGACCGAGGCTTCCCTGACCACTTACAGTTAAGCATGTGACTTCGAGCCTGAACCCTGAAACCCTAAACCCTAATGTAGGAATCTGATTAAGAAACCTTGGGCCTTGATTATAAAGGCTTCCTTATAATATGAACCCTCTAGTATTTTGTCTACATTAACCTTAAACCCAATGCCAATACCCTAAACCCTGAAACCCCCAAGCATAAACTCTGTACCCCTGAACCCTTTGAATCCAGGTTCTGCAAGGCCCCCGGCCTTTCGGCGATGTCTGCGTGCGTGCGGAGCCAGCAACGGCAGGCCCGCTGCCTGCACAAACCGGTTTAGGGTTTAAGGCTTAGGGTTCAGGGTTCAGGGTTTAGGGTTTATAAGGGTTCAGGGTTTAGGATTTTGGGTTTAGGGCATCAAAATCAGCTTTGTGAGGAGA